ATTTATAATAATTCATTTTCTTTTAAATATCATCGAATTTTGACCTAGTAAAAAATATATCATTTCTTTTCAAGTCCATATTCATCATAAAAATGGTATCCATTACTCCAAACAAAATTTTCATTTACTTTTTTTTCTTAACATTTTTAATTGCGGAAGTCTATCCTCAGAATGCTTGTTTGAACATTAAAGATCCATGCAAGTCTTGCATCTGTTCATGCGAGGAACATGTACCTAAAGAAGAATGTCCTGGCCGATGTGCATCTTCATGTAAGAACGAATAAATGATACATATTACGTCAAATATCACTTAAAAAGAATCTTTACGAATCAATATTTCCCAATTAAAATTGGTGAATAAATTTATTTTATATTTAAATTCCGTCCTTTTACATTAACAATTCTTAATAAATATGTATACTATATACTGTGTTCATTATTATATTATTTACTTATCTATTATGTATTTATTTATCAAATTAATTTTGACATCTTAAAATAATTATTCGATTTTGAATCATTAATTTTTTGTTGGTTGCATCAAAGTATTATTTTTTCCGGGCTAAAACAAATACAATGTTCTTATCAGAAATAAGTTTAAAATGTATTTATTGTATAAATGTTATAAATTACGAGAATAGAAAATCATTATTCTAATAAATTTGCTAGCAGATAGTATATAGTAATAAAAAAACTTAAAGTTTATTTATTTCAACTATCGTGCGAGAAAGTTACATTAAAATGTGCGATTCGATTAATTTTAGTAAAATCTATTTTTATGACCATTTTCAAAGATGACAATCATTCATCTTTACAATTTCTTACAATTTACTCTTTCATAATAACCATTTAAATTACCAAAGAATTTGATACATAATTCTAAATTGATGTACCTTTGCCGCTTTATAGGTATTCATTGCTGTTAATAGTTTATTCTATCTCCGCGCATAATAATGATAATGTATAGTTTTTGAATAGTTTTCAGTATTCTTTTTTTTTTAGGTCATAAACGGTCATACGATATAATATTTTGGGATCCGTCCAAAATCCCGAAACTCGAAATCCGAAATATCTAAATCCCGAATTGCCAAAATCCCGAATTTTATAATCCCGACACCCCTATAATACTGATTTTCTTTATTTTATTAATAAATTTCAAGATTTTTCTTTTCGGTATTTTGAATTTCGGGATTATGAAGTGTCAGGCTTATGAAATGTCGGGATTATGGCAATTCGGGATTTTGACATTTCGGGATTTAGAGTGTCGGGATTATGTACCTTCGGGATTTCGAGTTTCGATTTCGTACCAACCCCAATATTTTACTGGGTAAGTTTACTGGTCAAATAGTTCCTTAAGTTAAATATTAAAAAACTCATATTTTTTGATGTATTTCTAATTACATAATTGCATTTTAAACTTTATTAATTCCTAATTGTATTTAAAGCCAAATGGTTGTTAGAAGAATCATAACAAATCATTTGTAGTTAAAATATATTTTCCCAAATTCAAATCATCGGAAAAATGAATATTGACATTATGACACTAGAAAAAAATAGAATAATAAGCTAAAAAAATGTGGCAAGATTTAATAATAATACATGAATAAATTCTTTTATATTAAAAATTGGAATCATAATGCTATAAATTGATATATAATTTTATCGTAAGCGTAACCTGCAAACCAATCCGGCTACTATTTTTTCTAGAGTTATTGAGTCTCTCTATCTAAACTAATAAAATCGCACCACAATTATCATACAATATAAGGACAATTTAACAAATTTAAATTGATTTATGACGGCTTATATTGTTGCTGACTTGGCCAAATCTTTGAAAAAACTTGTTGTTACCTTGCCTGATCACCAGCGTTGAGGTGCAGCAACATTGATCAGGGGGAGAGGAAAACGAAACATACATCATACACCACACTCCTAATATTAATTTCCACGTGAACAAAGTCATGGTACAAATTACAAGGATAAACTAGTATATGGGAGCCGAAAGCAATTTAAATAACCGTGAACCAAACCGCCATTATAGACAGCGCCACCTTGGTGTGCTAACCCAAAGAACCATAATTCAAGTTAATTATTATAACTCATTACAAATCATTTCATTGTAAAAATTGGTAACTATGTCTTAATTTACCAAATATAAATAATGAATAATAATCTGTAAAGTTAGGTATTATTAATCTTATTGTAATACTAATGATTATGACTCATTCTAAGTTATTTTATTGAAAAAAAAGAATATAAAAGTAATCAGGGTTTGTAATTATTCATCTTATTGTAAATATTAATTATTATGGCTCAAAATAAGTTATTTTATTAATGGAAAATTAGTAATCAGGGTTTATAATTATTCATCTTATATGATTATGACTCATTATAAGTTATTTTATTGAAAAAAAGAATATAATAATCAGTGTTTGTAATTATTCATCTTATTATAAATATTAATAATTATGACTCATTGTAAGTTAAAAAATAATGTAAAATTAGTAATCAAGGATTGTAATTATTCATTTTATTGTAAATATTAATAATTATGACTCATTATAAGTAATAAAATATCAAATAGAGTAAAATTTATATTTAAAAATTTCTTATAAGTAGGAATAGTTTTGGGCCTTTATAAAAGCATAAATTGTAATTACTAATTATTCTTGTAGGTGATTAGAATCCTGGGTTGCAACTACCATCCTACCACCCTATTCTTAACAATATCATTTATTTATTATCCCTGATATTAGGTGAGTTATTGTGTTCAATCGAGCTTTAATTGCAATGAAGGCTTTTTTACGATTTAGTTCATGGGTCTGCCCACGTATATATATGTCTAAGGTTTTCCAAATATATTTATTTGTCGGGATTCTTTGTGAGTCTAGATGAAATCTGGTATATATGCCTGAGTAAGCGTGGATGAGCGTTCTGATATCAGTCTAGTAATTCAATAACTCATTTATCTGAGTGATCATAGGATAACCCTTTATTTCTATTTATAGATCATATTGATTATTAATTATCTAATCATCAAGACCAGGTAGAAACCCAGAAAATAGAAGAAGTTTCAAAAATATTTTTTATTAATAATAAGCAAAAATTTATTATTTATAATCTAACTTAATTATATTATTAAATAAAATTATTAATTTTTTTAAAATCAATACAACATGTAACTTAAAAAATTAGTTAATTCATTATAAATAAAGAAATAAAATATTACATTAGTAATATTTATAAAATTATTATTAATATATCATGTAAGAAAATTGATAAATGTTGATAGAAAGTTAATTAAGATTTTTTCAATTAAATTGAACGCTCAATAAAAAAATGATTTACAAATTCAAAAATATGTAAAGATAATCTTAAAGTATTTATATAAATTCCAGTTGCAATTGATCTGGCTGCAATGTTGATGCCGACTTACAATAAATCTTATGTTACACTATATATACTAAGAATTTTTTATGCCCGTCCCTTATAAAAAATCAAAAAAATAAGAAATTGTTACAGATTTAATAATTGATTATTATAACCAAATGAAATTCTCTAAATAATCACCAGATTTTATTTTAATTCATTTGGTTTGGTCAAATTAATAATTTATTGAGTAAAATAATTATCAAAAGAATAAACAATAAATGAAATGAACAGATTCTAATACATTTAATTGTTCAAATATTTTTCCTAAGTTGGTTATAAGTTTAAGATTGGCGTAATATAAAATAATAAGAAATTATAAATTTATAATTAATTAATAAGCCGAAATATTTATAATATTGAAGTTTTTTCGAAAATGTATAAATATAATTTAATACATATACTTACTAGTATTACATTATAATATTAAAATTTTCTATTTAAACAAACTCATTGGCCGGTGTAAGCAACGGATGACTGCTAGTCAGTAATTAATAAATTCCAAATTGAAATTGCTCAATCTCGTCAGTAACTTTGTGTAGAATGCTAACTAGCTAGTGGTGTAGTATGAGTTATCTGCGTGATCAACTAAGCGAAGCACACGGAAAAAAACTCTTCCCAGGTGATCTCTTAACCAAATTTTTTGAAAAGACGAATAATTAAAATTTTTATTAATAAAGACATACAATATGGATACAGCAACAGATACAAGTCGTCAAGAGATCCTGACGTGGGTTAACACTTAACAACAACAAGAAACCATATATGAAAGCTTTTTTTAACCCCTTTCATGACATTTTTGATAATTATTTGGGGGAAGTAGTAAAGTGCAAGAAAATAGAAGAATACATAGAGTTAGAAAAAAAATTTATAGCGCCTACTATTTCAAAACTGGGAAAGATACCAATACGCCTTAACAAACCAGAGACGAAAGTAACAGCGGTGTATTATTTTCTATCTTTATTCCTAATAAAATGGGCAGGTGAACATATACAAAGTATCGTAGAAGCATTACTGTATCGTGAGAAAAGTGCTGCGGTAAAATATGAACAAATCAAAATGCAAAATGCAGAAATTTTGGATAATTCTGAGGATTTGAAAAAAATGATGGCGGATACTAGCCTGGCAAACGGTTTAGTAACACAAGATTTAGAAAATAGAATCAGGAATTTAGAAGCAGATGTAATAGCAAAGGAATGAATAATATTGGAGAAAAATGAGGCAAATAATATTTTATGGGAAAAAATAAAAGCGCTAAAAATAAAAGAGGAAAAGCTAACGAGTCAAGTGACGAATATGGAAATAGATAAGGAGACGCAGAAAAAGAAAAAACGCCCTAACAAAAAAAGAAAAAGGGCGTGGTCACAACATGCTAAAATTGGAACGATCACCGAAATCGGAATAGATATGAGCGATAAAGATGAAGATCATTTGAAAAAACATTTTGCCGAGAAGTCACATGACATCACGTTTTATGATGTGCCTGCGTATTGGAGTGATGAGAAAATTTTAGGATTGTTGAATGCAAATGTAGGAGTTGTAGAACATATTAGATGTAAACGATGTTATAAGTACAAGACCGTTAGGGTGATGCTGCGCTTCAGCAATGCATACGAGAAGATATACAAAGAGGGCGGCGTGAACGTGTTATTAACAAGAAACAATGACAGAACATACTTTATTAGGATGTTTGATTCAAGATTATCATATAGCAAAGTTAAAGATAAATTTCGTTGGCAAGCTATTAAAAGATTGGAAAATGGTGTGCAGAATGATGACATATTAGTTATAAAAGATATGGTGAAAACTTTTCACGTTTTTTTTGGAAAAATTATTAGGGTTAAGGGAATGCGCTTCATTATTTTATATTTTAACACGGAATCAGATTTGATGACAGCAATTAATAAATCTATACAGAGATTTGACATGGGAAGTGGATTGTTGATCAAGAAAGAAGACGATTACATTAGCGAAAGTGGTGAATTACGAGAAGTTAATAGAAGATTTGCTTATTTTACTTATAAGAATAATGCCTCAAGATCAAATGGTTTTCGTATGGAGTGGAAACAACAAGGTAGTTCGAGTACACATTCCACTCTATCAAGGAGACATAATAAATGGTGGTAGCAAGGGAAGGTAAATGAGACATAGATAAAACATAATAAAATACAAAAACATATTAAAAGATTAAAGATATAAAAATAGTAAAAATAGATAAAACTTAAAGAAAAGGTAACGTATTGGATAAGTAGTTTTAAAATTTTTAGAATAGGTTAGTTTAGCATCATAATAGTTTAGCAAATTTATAATTTAGCCTTTGTTAGTAAATGACACAACAATGTAACTAGTCGTATGTATTCTAACGATAGCTTTTACAAAAGAAATAATTTTTTTTTTAGTTAGTTTAGTTTAATACATAGTAATTAGGGATGGCAACGGTCATGGTTATTAACCGGTCATGACCGGTTATGACTGTGACTGATATCATTCAGTCAAAGGCTTCTGACCGACCATTTAACTGACCGGTTAGACTGACCGTTTGACTGACCATTTAACTGACCATTTAACCAATTATTTAGCCATATTTATTCACTTAACACTTTTTTTACGAATTTAATCAATAAAAAAAGTTAAATAACGTTTTTTTTTGATTAAATTACACTTTTTAACATTTTTTCTTGATTAAAATTTGTTAAAAAGAAAAAAGTGATCGGTTAAACGGTCAGTTAAATGGTCAGTTAAACGGTCAGAAAAACAGTCAGCCAAAACGGTCGGTCGGTCAAAGACCCTTAACCGGTTATGACCGACCGATAACTGACCGTGACTGACCGTTGCCATCCCTAATAGTAATAGTGGTTTTATTTTAGAAATTCTTTGGTTATGTATATCCTCGCCTTGGTTAGACAATCCATTGGCTTTGGTATGGAGAGGTTTATTGTCAAAAGATTTTGAGCTTCAAAGTATTGATGTTATAATTATTATGTATTATGATGCGTTATATTTACTAATAAAATGACTAAATACGGTTACCAAAAAAAAAAAAAAAACTAAGCGAAGCACACGAACTCAATTTAATTTTACTTTAATGAATTATTCTCTTTTAATTTTCGCTATTTTCTTTTATTACTTTCGATTGCAAAAGTTCTCTGTATCAAAGAAAAAATGTAGATTCTGAACTAACTCCAATGAACCCATCATCCTATCATATCCTTCATAAATGTAGAAATCATATACAAATAAGACATACCAATATTTATACATTAAGGCAATCAAACGATCCATTCACAAGACAAATTTTTTAATGTATCCAATTTTTACTAATGATGATTATATTCGTTTATAAATAACATTTGATTTTATATCATTTTCTTCGCTTATATTCAATTCCAATAGTTTAAATAATTCAAAATCATTATTCTAATTTCGTGAATCCGTAAAATACGCAAAATCTGATTATGACAAAATATTTCAAATATCGTTGAGAATCTCTCACTTTCTACTTCGTACATTCGGATTAGCAAGTATCATTCATCAACATTTTTCGGGTGTTCACATTTATGTTCTATTCGACTTTTTTTTTAAGGGTTTGGTAAAATTTTATGAAATACTATTTTTTTATATAGTTTATATTTTTTAGTTTTGCGTAATTATATATTATTTTTTTCTTATTATTATATTTGATTTATAAAATAAAATAAATGATTTTCTTTCTTTTAAAATTTTAAGTACTGAAATAACTTATTATTTAACAGAATTTCATTCATGAGCGATCCTTTTTGCCTTTTCATTTTCAAGTAAATATAAATTATATTACCAATTAAAATGAAATGGAATTAAAGGCGGGTTTTTAATCGGCTAATAGAATATTTTAATAAAGTTTATCCTTGTATGTATAAAGAAGTATTATAGCTACAAAATTTAGAGATTACATTGCAAAATATAGGTTATTATATATACGAGGTAAATTCAATGTATGATTTACATGAAACACTAATACTAAATATGCTTACAGTATATATGTAAATTTATAACAAGTCACTTAAAAAATAGTTAAATTCGCATTTATTTATTTATTTATTTATTTAGATTGCATGATTTGATTTAACTAAAAATTTCTTTATACTATTTCTAAAGTTTCAGCAAATGAATTTATTTTCGGATAAATTTTTTCTGTCAAACGCAATGCTTCTTTTCTCCATTCAGGTTTATCATCCTCAAGTTTACCCATTATAGGTTCTACAACTATTTTCAATATAATATCAACCCATTTCTTAGCTTCTTCAAACAACTCGAGTTCTAAACTGATAATTAGAATATTATTGATTATGACACGAATTTGACTTAAACAAATTGTTTTATATAAATCATATGCCTCTTTCAAAATAGATAGAGCCTTTTTATTATTTCCACTTTTACGGTAAGCATATCCCAGCATAATTCTAAGTTCCATTGTATTGAATTCTAGATCTGGATGTTCTTTTCGAAGACTACTTAATTTAGCAATTATATCTTCTAATTCTTTAATAAGAGAAGGATCAACATTATGTGATTCTAATAATTTAGGTTTGATTGATTCATTATAGATTTTCAAGAGTTCTCTCATTCTAAGTCTAATTTCTTGTGATTCAGATCTTTCCAACTTGCACAATCTACATTGGCAATCTATGTTCATCATAGTTTTAAGATAAACTAATCGTTCTTCATAACAAAAGGCAAAATTTCTGTAATTAATAATTAGCTCTTCACCTTTTGAAATAGGCCGATTAGTTCGAAGGAATATCAAATCACCAAGAAAAAAATGGTTTACATTTTCATCAATACATGCATGATTGAACAAAGATGGCAAGATACACAGTCCTGTACCGGTTATTTCAGTTTTAAGATTAAATTCATTATAATTTAAACCAAAATCATTGTGCAGGAGAGTATGTACAATTAAATTAATATTCACTTCATTTTTGTTGATTAATTCAATTTTTTCATTTTCGCTAAGATTTAAACCATCATAAAGTTGATACACTTCCTGACAATAATAAGGTTCTGCAATAAGTTTCAGAGTAATACATGTAGTTAATTCTTCAACAAGCGAATCATCATTTTGGGTATCGCTTATCATAGTTCCAAAAACTTCATTACTAAAAACTACTTTAAATGCTTTAGAGACCATCAGCAAAGTATATTCAGGAATGTCACATTTAGCGATCCAACCTCTTCCTTTTCCTTCTACAAGTTCAATTTTAATATTGTCATTTAAAAAATCAGCATGATCTAATCTTGGACCCGTTTCATAAATCCAAACATCATTACCCTTACTATCCTTTTTAATTTTAGACCTCTCATAGAATTCATCAAATATACGTAAATAATCATATTTTCCATTTTTATTTTCATAAGACAACATTTCCGCATGTTCCATAATTTGTTTAATTGAAGTATTATAATATAACCTTTCGTTCTTTGATGTAAATTTTGAAGTATATTAGTGGCTTCTTTATAATGTTTGAGACCACAAAGAGCTTTACCCTTGCGATAAGCTGCTATTAAATTATTGGGTTCATACATAAGAGCAATCTCTGTATCCTTAAGAGCATTATGAAATTGATACAATCGAAGGCAAGTTTCTGCTCGATTAATAAGTAAAGTGACATTTTGTGGCTCCAATTTGATGCCATTTGAATAATTATAATTAGCTGCAATATAATTACTTGAAGAAAAATAATCATTTCCACAACGATGGAAATCATCGGCATTCTTTATCTCAACTTTCTTTTCATTCGTGGACCATTTCACGTCACTAAACGACTTGTTATTTTGATCGACGATGATGACATCATCAGGGTTATTAGAACGAATTATGGTTATATTACCAGTGACATATTCATAAGATATATTCTTGATGACAAGTAGAGTTCCAATTGGTAAAAATAATTGATTTATAGATTTAATATTTGATTGACCTTCTTTGGGAATATTTGTCCAATTATACAAAGCAAATCTTTCAACATTACCCTCTGGATCTTCCACAAGAGCTAAAAGGGCATATAATTTTACGAATCTGGAAATCACTCGACATAACAAGAATCTTCCAGTGGGTACATTATCAACTTGTAAATTTGATATTGATATCCGAAGTTGAATATTTAGAGTTAAATTCTCTTGTTTATTGATATTATGAACAACATATTTTCTCTTATCACATAAATTATCTAGATTATCTAGCCTTTTATGTTCATCAATTAGTTGTTTCTGCTTTTTCTTTGAGAGAAATTATCAACAGTCAAACGTAAAGTAGCATGTTGCGCAAATTCAAATGCATTTATCGTTCTTTTTCTATATTGATATGTCATGTTTGTCGTATTTAATATATACAATATATATATATATTATTTTTTTATGGCTAAGAAAATAACAAAATTTTTTCTTATCAACTCAATAATCAAATTCATATTTAAGTTAACCCCTTATAAGGCCGGGCAAAAAAAAAATTTAGATTCTCGTGACCCGGCCGGGTCAGTTTTTCGAAAAATGGGAAATTTTTTTTTTATAGTAAAAAATTTTATAACGTGATTATAAGTTATTGGCCAATGTGGCGTAAAAAAATTTTACATATAAAAAAATTTTACAAATATAAAAAAAAATGCCGGCCGGCCGGGTCATTTTTAAAATTTTATGTCCCGAGAATCTAAAAATTTTTTTTGCCCGGCCTAATGAACGAATTATTATGTCATTATTAGCTAATCAAATGTGATATGACGTATATTATTTTCTACTGATATCAAATGGTTTACCACTTATCAGAACATCTCGGAATTATCAGAATTAGGGAAATAAAATTTTTTTAAAATAATCACTAAACTATCATTCTTATATATTACGGATTAGCCACAAAAATCTTCACGAGCCAACCAACTGGAATAGATCAGACGCAGATATATCATGTTAAATAAAATTGTATTATGCAAGATATTATACTTCCTATTAAACTATCCACTATTTATTCGAAAAAAGTATTTATATACCTCAATACCTTACCTCTTTTTTTTTTCATCGACTTTTTTTTTCGTCAACAATATTATATATACACAATATATACTTTCGTCGTCTTTCTTTTCGAGGTCTATCTTCTCTCTGTCTAGGTCTTCTCTTATTAGGTCTTTTTTTAGACCCCTTTTTTTCGTTTTGTCATCTTTTTTTCGCTTCATTGTCTTTTTTTTCGCTTTGTCATCTTTTTTCTTCGTTTCGTCATCTTTTTTCTCGTCATCTTTTTTTTTCATCTTTTTTTAGGTTTATCTTCTCTCTGTCCAGGTCTTCTCTTTATTAGGTCTTCTTTTAGACTCTTTTCTTTATGTCATCCTTTAGGTATGTGGGTAGTGTGGGTTGGGAGTTATGTGGGTTGGTGTAGGATGGGAGTGTGGGAGTGTGGGTTGGGAGTGCGGGAGTGTGGGAGTGTGGGTTGGGAGTGCGGTTGGGAGTGCGGAAGTGTGAGAGTATGGGTTTGTGTGTGGGTTTGTATATGTGGTGTTTCATTTTATTTTTTTACGTCATCTTTTTTTTAGGTTTGTCTTCTCTCTGTCTAGGTCTTCTCTTTATTAGATCTTCTTTAGGCCCTTTTTCTTTACGTCTCTCTTTAGGTATGTGGGTTGGGTGAGTGTGGGTTGGGAGTGTGGGAGTGTACGTCTTATTACCAATCCACAAGATAAGCATAAATCGATTTATAATATTTTTTCTTTCTTGAACATAAACTCTGACGGTATTTTTTAGTTTATAAGCACATAAAATTAATTTTACTATTTTATCATCTTTTTTTTTGCTTTACCGACATAAAAATTTCATGTTTATATATTTGGTTTTGTGAATTTTGAAAAATAACAATATGCTTAATACTTTAAAATTTTTATTGTACGTCAAATTTTGTAATTACTATTTATTAATATTCGTTTCGTTAATACTTATAAAAAATTTGAATGAGTAATTTTTTGGATGAAATTGGGACTTTGACAAAATGTTTTCACTAAAAAAAAAATCACGAATTAATAATATTGTATAACTTGCTCATGATTAGCATTTGAATAAACATGATTTTTTAGTTAGGATAAATATTTTTTTATACTTAGTAGAAAATAAAATTGGTTTAAATTAAAAATTAATAAATTAATATAATTTTTAAATTACATAGATAATTTTTTTAAATGATTAGTATAATACTTATTTTAATATTGTTCATTTTTTTTATTAATAACAAAGTTATATTACGATAAAAGCATTCAAGAAAGGAAAAAAAAAGTATTTTTATCATTTGATTATATAAACCAATATTTTTTAATTGTAAATAAAAAAAACTATTTCAACACATAGTGACTATCTATTTAATAATCACTAAAATAATCTATAATAATCTATAGAGTATAGATTTTTTATTTATATCTCTACTTATTTACATAATATTTTTTATATACATAATTTATTATCTGTTATATATATTTATTAAAAAACATTAATCCCGATTCCCGATGCGAAACTGCTAGTAAAAATTTGTAATAATTTAAAATCAGAATTGTTGGCGAAAATTTTACAAAATAAATTGTATATAATATGACTAATAATTGATGCTAAACCAATTTTTGTTTTTTGTAAAATCCGTATTATTATTTTTATCGAAAAGATGATTTTTTTTACAAACCAAGTTATATGCCTTTAAACAGTATTACATCCAAAAAGTATTTACGCTTATGTAAAGAGAAATCCTTTTAGTCATACAAAAAAATCACTTAGGGGGACGAAGTCCCCCACAAATTGCAACTTCTAGTTTATTATGATAATTTCGAGAAAAATGTAGAGCAAAGTTGGAAAAATACCCAATATATGTAGAAAAAAACCAAATAGTAAATCCTTATTAATAGTATCTGTGACACATAATACAAATCAAAGACAATAAAAAAGCGATCATTTAAGGAAGTCAAAAGGAGATTTAATTTATTTTTCATTTTTTTTATTATTTTCAAAGATGCATGTTTTCTTATTGAGGCTGAAATATTATGAAACAATTATGTAAATTAATAAAAAACTAAAAAAGAAAATTCCTTATTTATTAGAAAAAATAACATATCATTATCGTTGTTAAAATGGTAATGCATAAAAAAAAAAACCTGTTTGTTATGTGTTATGTGTTAATTCTATTCATTATTTTTAAATTTTAAGGAGAAAGTGCGAAGATCATTAAATAATTTAAATGTGACTTTATTTATTTATGTTATGAATTATTTATTATATCAAATAAAATTTTAGTTGGTCAGGAGTTTTATTAAGTTTAGGGTTAGAAAAATAAAACATATTGAAGGGATCCAAAAAAGGACGGATTTTACGCAAACTCTGTATTTATATATATATTTTATTCACAATTGTAAAAAAATGTTTTTATTTATAAAATTTGTATTTGTACAATTTTCAAAATTTTTTTAAAAGATATTAAAAATTATTTTTATTAATTGTTAGTACAAAATAAATTAACAAATTAATATATTAATAAACTAAAATTTAAAAAAAATAAATAAATATATAAAAAATGAATAATAAAAAAATAAATTGATATTTGTTTTTTTTAAAAAAAAAAATTATAAAAAAAGATTTTTTAAAAACCAAATTAATAACAGAACAAAAAATTTTTTTTTTTAATCTATCAAAATATTTTTAATTTGAATATTTTCAAAATCTTTAATCCTATTAATAATATTATTAATTTCATCATTATTAATATCATTATCATTTTCATTCTTTAAATCAGAAAATTTTTTAATAAAATAATCAATATTATTATTTAAATCATTTTTTATGATTGTAATTTTTTCAATTTCTTTCATGATATCATTTTCATCATATTTCCAAATTGAAATTTTATCATAATCACTTTCTTTAAAAATATGTTTTGTAAAAGTAGATTTTTCTTCAAATTCTTTATAAATAGAACCTTGATTTTTTCTTGTATTATACCATTCTTCAAAATTTTTGGATTGACCAAAATAATAAATATTTTTTGGTTCAGGTTCAGGTTCCCAAAAATTAATATGATGTAATGCTTCATAATCTGCTATATGATTTGCTCGAAGTCTTAATGAAGTTTGTCTACCTTTAATTTCTGCTTTTTCATATACACCACTAAAACATTAATAAAGAAATTAATAATGATAATATTATATTTAATGTTATGTAATAATAAATTGTGTTTAACCTACGTCATAAAAGCAATCAACATATTTAATAAAACGTATACAAGGATTATGCTAGCAATCCAAGTAAATAGATCAACAGCCCAATAACTAAATTCATCTCTTTGAACCCAATCACCACCGATCCAAAAATATGCTGCCATTAATGCTTCATAAAAAGATGAAAATGGATTATCAATTGATTTTGGATCAAAATCGGATTTAAGTTCAATATGAAATGTTTCATTTGTTGAATCATTTGTTGCATTTCCACTGAATGTAGTATCTTTGATTTTAATATTCGTAGGATTTCTGAGTAATATAAACCTAAATATTATAAAGCAAGAGAATTTAGTTATATTGAAATTTGAACTTGAAATGAATATATTAGATTTTTCATACATTGTGTGTGCAAATGCGAATATAGCGATTGACATAAACAAGAAGAACGGAAATATGGCTTTGAAAATAATTATAACATAATAAATATATATATCAATAGCTATAAATTAGAAAAAAATAAGTTAATAATTAATAATGTGGACATGTAATAATGATAATATTTTTGCAGAGTTTTTTTTTTACCTGGTATTAGACGGAGATAGAAAATCTAAAATTTAATAGTTGATTAATAAATTTAATATAAAAGTATAAAAGTAGAAATGATCAAATAATCAAATTATATAAACAAAGCTTACAAATTCAATCCAAAGTAAAAAAACTGAAAATGATATCCATACAGTTAAATTAGTATCAGTTTCTTTAACACTTTCAAAACCATCAGAAAATTGGAAATCATTAAGTATTATTGTCATTATAGCTACAGATAGAGTAATAGAAACTATATCAAAAATGTTAAATATTTCACCAAAATATTTTTTAAATCCACGATAATGAAACTGTAAAGCTTCAGTAATAAGTTGATAAATTGCCAAATAATAGAATATAATAATTAATGTTAACAAAAAATTTTGATTGATAATAGTTGTGTGATCCATATATGCCCAGCTAACTAATGTAAAGCAAATGGCAAAAATAAGAAATCGAAGAAAAAGTAAAAAAAAGAAATTTCTTGTTTCTCTCCAACGAAAATCGACAACTGCTTCAGTTGCTGGATTGTCATAAATATCATCATTATTTTCATATAATATCATCCTAGAAAAAGGACTTAGCTTCTTCACATCACCTCGACCAATCTGATACCATCGTGGTATAAATAAGAACAAAAAAATATTTAAAAGGTTTTTTTTCAAATTATACTTTTCTTTTTTCCTTGGAATGTCATTTACAGTAAAGCTAGGAAGGGGAACTACACGTAGAGCTAATGGCGATTTTCCAAGATTGTTATCAAAATTTTCATATCTTTTGATCATTTTATTCTTAAAATCCACTAATGGGTTTAGGATCTTATAATATAATTCATATTTATCAGTCCTTAATTCGATTATAGGTCTAAATGCTCTAAACTTGATGTTATGATTACGCCTTTCTCGGTATTCCTCTGGAATTATCTCATTAGGATCTAGAGCTGAGAAGTGATCCTGATCTGCAAAACATTCTTTATAAAATAACTTTCTAGCATAATCGTCTATTAAATAATATAAAAACTATAAATATTCTAAAATCTTTCAAATGAAATCAATTAAATTTGAATTACAAACCATAATTATACTTGAATAATAAAGGAATGGCTTTAGAAACAGTACACATCCAACCCGCATAATCTGTTGCATGTCTAGTATAATATTCCAAGAAATAAGCAATAACAATTGTATCCTTAAGTTCGCGACCTATAGTAAAATTTGAAAATGAAATTAGTAATTGTGATATTAACATAATGATAGAATAGCCAACATAATTTTCCTAATGCCAGCAGAAAGTGGATTGAAATTTACCCTTGCAATGATAAATTGCTAATTCCATATTGTTTTCTGGTATGATTTTTTCATTATCCTCTATTCCATCATTCCTTTCATCAAAGTCAAGATCATCATCCATTAAAAACTTTTTTCCTGGCCATAATTTAATTCTTGGTATGTGTCTTATTACAACCTCTTTTACTTCATTCTCTTTACTATTTTCAACAGTTTCTTCATCTCCAAATAATATAAATTTTATCAAATGATTGCAATCACTAAGAATTAGACTTTTCATAACATTATGTCGAACATCTAACAATTTAAAATTTTCTGGTTCATGTTTAGCAAATCTCCAGACTATATGTCTGATGTAACCAACCATCTCCTCGTACTTTTTTAATTAAAAAGAAATATCAATTAATAATTATTATAAGAAACTTATAAATGAAAAAAAAAATATTTAAATTTTTTTAAAATCGACCTACTTTATGTACTCTAGTGTAATTATTTGCAAGGCGTTTGCTTTTATAACGCTTATTAAGATGTTCTAATGCTTTACAAGCATGCCTTACAGCATGAAATTTTTCATTAATATCTTTTTGTTTAATTATTTTTTCTTTCTTTTTTAAAACTCCATTATTTTCTTTTATATGCCAATAAACCTTTAAACAAAAATTATCTAAATCATCATAAGTAAACTCTTCAATTTGTAATCTTGTTTTTTCAGATTCTTGATTTACTGGAATACGATTTGTCCATATATATTCAAGAAATGGTTCACCTTTGTTAGGAAGAACATCTTTGTTTTTACTATCATCTTGGATTTGATGCCAAATTTGAACAGTTGATCTACCAACAATTAGTTGTAAAGTATTTGTTTGTGTTCCTTCTTTATTATGGTAAAGACAATAAAATTTCCTCTCGCAATTACTCAACACCCATGGTTCAGTGTCATTAACTGGTTTAAAATCTATATGACATTTATTATTTGTTATCATTTTGTAATCAACTTTTTTTAATTTTAAATTTTCTTCAACTTTTTTAAGGACTGATGAAACTTTTCCATTATCTTCAATTAGTAAAATATTTCCTGAAGTTCTAGCTAAACGAGTAATTGGACAATTATCTAACCTCGATATTTCAACTTTACCGGTATTATATAAATCCCAAACTAAAGATATCATCACTCCTTTTGGACATTCGCCTAAAATAAGTAATTTTTCATCACTATCAATAAATTCTAATAAATGTATTTTTTTTATTTCATCAAACCTCTTTGATGCGATTTGTAAACCATTTTCCATATAATACAACCTAATAAATTTACGACATATTATATTCAAAGATAATTGATTAATGAAAAAAACACAATACAATAACAACTTACTTAACAATACTAATTCCTCTAGTAAAGCAAAGTTGTAATCTATTAACCGAAAATATATTAGAATAGTAATTTTTTACGAATTTATTCTTATTTTCAACTCTTTTTGCGGTAGTTTCTAATTCCATTTTTGCGAGATTATATACTAAAAATAGATTTTTTTTTTTAATATACAATTTTCAATTATATGTAAAAGATAAACAATATGTTCTTACCTTCAAGAGATTGCACGTTATTTTTGTATTGTGTAACTAAAAAATATTTATTGTAAATACATGAGATAAGTCGTCCCATGCAATCACCACAATCATCACAATCATCATCTGTACGTGTAAACCAGTTGTCCAATTCATATCTAACACTTTGTGGATATTCAAATTTCTCATTTAAATCAAAATAATCACAATAATCACTAAATTCAAAATTATATATCCCACGGAAATTCAATATTATAAATCTTCTTTGTTGAGTATCACACGATTTGTCTTTATCGACTTCACCTGAATCTATAAACTTACATATCCCTGAAATTACGTCAGAATGATAACAAGTTACAGCTTTGAGAACATAATTTACTTCAATTTCTTTATTTTTTATGAAATCAAGACGATAAATAGAAATTCCTTTTTTGATTTCATCGGTTTTTTCAAGTATATTATCGTCTGGAGCATTAAAATTTTCACTTTTAGGTACTGATTGTATATCAACTGCAGTATCATGAGTTTCGTAAAATTTATTGTTTTTTACGTCTAATTCACAATCGTCAGACGGCGACGAACATTTAAATTTCTTTGAACTAAGATATTCTCTTTTATAATCAAGCTTTGTAACTTTAATATTTTTCTCTTTTGTACCCTTCATATCCTCGTCAATTTTTACACGAGATATGGAGACAAGAATAAAATATTCAGTATCATTCTTTTTATACATATTCGATATATCAAAAGACCATCTAAATTTATCATCCTTTTTCGAGATATTTTCTTTTGTTATATCGTCACTGTTTGAAGAACCAACACCATGAGTTTCTTTAAATGGAAGAGGCTTATATGTTGTCTTATAATATTTGTTAATACTGAAGTCATCATTTATTTTAAAATAAGCGATTGTTTTATCAATCTCAACGGACCCATTGGATTCATTTTGATTGCTGGAATCTACCTCCTTCTTCTTATTGAACCTTGGTTGACGATGATCGGTATTTTCCAATATTTTGACCCGAAGGTTTGCTATTTCAATAAAAAAAAAAAAGTTAAAATTATACTCCAGTCTTCGTAGAAGGTCCTTCTTCGATTTTTTAAATTGTTTTTTAAATAATAAAATTTAATTTTTTACCCGTATCAAATGTAACAGCAAATTTTCCATCTTGACAAATTGCAATTTGATAATCCTCCTTCTTAATGGTACCATCATTTCCATAACCTACGTCTTCACTCGGATCTTTTTTACTCTTAAATATATTTACAATCCTTATTTTATTAATAACGTTTTTAAATATATTATTATTATTATTATTATTTTCGTTTCGAGCGTCAACTTCAATCACACGGGGATAGTTTTCGCTCATGTTTTTTTTTTCGTTAAAAAAAAAAATTAAATAAATTATAATATGAGGGGTAAATCCATGAAAGTACTTAATTTAAATAAATATTTTTTTTTTTTACATAATCAAAAAAAAACTTTGTTTACTGAACACCGTTACTTTGTATTACATTTAGAATGTTTAACAAGATCTTATAATAAGATAATCAAACAAAAACAATTACACAACATTATTTAATTCTGTTGTCCCTTTTTTTTTGTATGAAATTATTTATTATTTTTTATTTTATATTGTTCTCTTTCAATTTTGGAGGAAATGGTTTAGACAGATTTATTGAAGCAGAAAAATAATTTTATTGAATACTTTAATTTCACTATTTTTTTTTTTATTTAATAAGGTTAAAATAACAATTTATATTTTTATTTTATTTTTTTTTTTATTTGAATTGGTTCTATTTTCGGATATAACAATTCGAACAAAGTTAATAAAATCGAGAATAATTTTCTAATTTTTGCAATATTTCATTAAATAATCATCTTATTACAATTTAGAAATCGAAATTTTAACTTTATTAAGATTTATGAATTTTCTATCTAATAAATTATATTTTTTCAACATATTTAATAGTACGTTTGTGAAAATTTTTGAAAACGTATTTATACGTATTTATGCGACTTTATGCGACTACAATTAAAATTATGTGTCGTACCAAATGATTTGAATCCCAAAATTGGCTAAAACTAAAAAAAAATTTAATTAAATATCACGCCTTCTTTAACGCTAACCTCATAAGTACTTGTGTAACGTTCATCGTACAGTGACCTATCGGAATAGTTTTCGATTGTTTATTTTATCAAATACAATTGATATTTCGGAGTAAATCCTGTAAAGGAGCTAAGCCCAAAAATTATTCAACTTATTTTTGTTTTAATATATAGAATCTTTTAACAATTAGAAAACTGAATTATATCATTATAAATTCCGATTATGTAGGTTTCACCAATTCTAATATATACAGAAATGACTTACTCAAAAAAGTGTAATTTGTAATAATGTGTATTGTAATGCCGGAATTTACTTAGTGAATTATTAAATGTTGGGCGCAGTATTATATTTAGAATGGATACTTAGAAATTTTATTTATATTTTTAATGACGTACGCGATGACGTTAAACTATTTGAATTAGTAAGTAGAATTGATAATTGTGTCCAGACACATGACTTTAAACTGTGTCATATAGTTCGAATTATTGGATTATATTTCTTGTAATTTATAATTTATTTTTATGTGTTTATTGGTTCGTTTATTTACATGGAATAGGGATCACTGTGAATGTGATTTAAATAAGGAATGTGATTGTGACAAAGGTAATGTAGATCAGATAATACAATGAACTTCGGAATTGCGTAGTGATGATTATGGTGATTGTGATATTACAATAAGAAGTTAATTTTGGGAAAATTATGAACTCTGTGAAAAATTTACAAAAGAGAGAAATTACAAAGGAAGTTGAGAATAATCCGATACATCTAAAAAGAGTAATATAAGATATAGAACTATGTGGGAACTCAGAATTTATAAAAAGGTTGAATTTTGGAATAAGGCGTAGTATTTTAATAGCTTAGGGATAAATATTAGTAAGTGTGATTTATGAATATTTTAATAATGATTTTGGCGTTTTGATATTATTTTGTTAATGAAATGCAATACGAGAATAAGGATATAAGGATAAGTAGGGAAAATTATCGCAGTTTGAAAATTAAATTTAGGATTTTGTAATTTTATGATTGAATTATGAAAGTTGCATTGAAGTTTGGAATTGTGAATTAAGAAAGTATAATGAGAAATGAATTTTGGACGGAGAAATTATTTATTTTTTAGTTATTACTATTATTATTAGTTTATTTTATATTTAGAAACCAAGCATAGAACTCTTTAATTATTTTTATGAATAAAGAAAACAATGTTCAATGGCGCAGTGGCAAACGTACGTAAATGCGGGTGCGTCATTACAGTATATAAATATTTTCCGATTATGTAAAAGAAAATGACGCTATTTATAGAAATAAAAAAATTCTTTTTTATTAGAAAGATGTGTAACTTTGATTTTTATTTGATACATTGAGGCTTATGTATTCACAAACCTAAACAGGATTATGACTTGATTTAAATGTGATTGTGACTTTTCTAGATTTCATCATATATTATTTTTTTTTGAATTTTGTTATAATGATTTCAAATAAATGTTATTTTCCTTTTACCTTAAAAAAGTTTACACGAACTTTTATTTTTTTGTAGACTAAAATAAAAAGCTAGATTTTTTATTGTGTAATATTTGAAATTCAGAAATCTTCATATCAAGTGTTGATAAAATTTTCCTGATTGTATATCATTCAATAAACAAATAATTTTATAAACTTCAACAAAAGTGGTTTTCAGTTCTCGTAAAGTCAATTTTTAAATTTTCAACGTTACTTTCATTTTTCATTTTATACGACCTCTAGAAATCATAGATTGATATTTGAATTTCATCTAAGGTTATTTTCAACTGCGAAATTTATTCTTACATCTTGGCTTCTAAAATTTCCAGAATATCGCCTGTTGACTATTATTCTTTGTATAACCTTCTTACTTTCTTCATGATTTATCAATTCCATGATTATAATAAAATTGGTTATTGCAAGTATAAATAAAAGAAACAAAAGAAACAATTTTACCTTCGTAATTTTAATGAAATCAAAATACTTATTCAAATATCGAAAGTAGATGGGCGGATACAACCTTTGTGTTAACGTTAATAGTTGTGCGCGTTGCGTTGATTACATGTCATCATGCGATCAATTTCATGTGACAAAGATCTCTTTATTTAAATTGTATCATTTAAATTGTATCTGTTCTTCGCTAATCTGAAATAAGCATAAATGATATTAATATTTATATACATTTTGCAAAAAATTTTCACGTTATTATTATGGTTGAACTCACGCACGTTCTTTATTCACATTAATTTTTTTTTAATCATCCTTCAAGATTGGTTTCTTGATTTTTAATTTTAAGCTCGTTATCTACAAATTCCTCTTCAGAGTTACATTTTTTGGTTTCATCTTGACTTTTGAGTTCTTTTAAGTGGGTTTTCTACAAAAACTTCTCAAAAGTCAGTGAAAGTGCCCGGTGTTGAAAGCGTGTTGTTGTCCAAAATGTTGTATAGTTACGTAAACGGGGTTGTAAAAGCTGAATAGGGACTGGAGGATACCACCCAATACAACCTACCTTTAAGCTTGTTTTCTTCAGAGTTACGTTTTTCGGTTTTGAGTTCTTTCAGTGGCTTATCTACAAAAACTTCTCAAAAGTCAGTGAAAGTGCCCGGTGTTGAAAGCGTGTTGTTGTCCAAAATGTTGTATAGTTACGGGGTTGTAAAAGCTGAATAGGGACTGGAGGATACCACCCAATACAACCTACCTTTGGACTTGTTTTCTTCAGAGTTACGTTTTTCGGTTTTGAGTTCTTTCAGTAGCTTATCTACAAAAACTTCTCAAAAGTCAGTGAAAGTGCCCGGTGTTGAAAGTGTATGTTGTCCAAAATGTTGTATAACTATGTAATCACGTAAACGGGGTTGCAAAAGCTGAATAGGGACTGGAGGATACCACCCAATACAACCTACCTTCAAAAAATACTTTTCTTTTTCTAACAGTTTCTCTAGTAATTTTTTTTTTCTTGCTCTTGTATTCCTCTTACATAATCTTTACATTGCTTAAAAAAAGAGCGGGCTTTTTTTCGAGCCATTTTTTTTTTGATTGTAAAATATTTCTATATTTTTCCAAATGCAGTTAAAAATAATCCACAAATTCACAAATTTTTAGTTTGTAGAAAAACGGTTTAGAAGAAGCTTTTATACTTTCAGTACATGAATGAATAATATGGTTTTATCATTACTCATTAGACTGTGATTATTGTTACGTAATTTTTTGGTAGTACGATTGACTAATGGGTTTAAAACTAAGATAATAACATAAGTATTATAATATGTGTCATGACAGTACATGACAAATATTATACTATGTATGAGCAAGATAATGTATAAATTTATATTATAAAAAAATTGCGAAATTACAAAACTAAATTTTATTGGTTCTTGAATTTAGTATGTATTATGATACATGCATTCTCAATCGTATTGAAATATTAGAAAATATTTGAGAATATAATTTGACATGATATTTGTATTTTTGAACTATTTTTTACATATAACAAATTTTATTATAATTTTTAATGAAAAATTAAACATGTTAAAGACGATTAGCGCAAATTTACATTATGGATAATCATGATCTAGAATCTCAAAATTATTACAAAAATATATATGATTTTTAAATGAACATTCAAATATCCTAATTCTAAATGGAAGCTTTAAAAATCATTTAAAAATATCATTACATAATGTCACGTTATTAAGAATGAATGTAATCCATAACTCTTTACTTTAAACAAAAGCTTTTTTTGAACAATTTTTTCAAAGGTTAATATATATTTTTTGTTTAATAAATTCTTTTATAATAAGTAATTTAGATGGACGCGCTTTCCCAGAGAAATTTGTTTTTTCTTTGAATAATGAATAACACTCGCGGTCTATATTTTAAATAGCAACTGCATCAACGAAACAGAAAAATGCTTTGATTTTTAATTAAAACATTAATATGTATATTTTGATAGAAACATTTGGTAAATTAATTATTATTAAATATGTAAGAAAATTTAAAACTTAAAACAAAATTCAAATTTAAAATAAAGGTAGAGAATTATAAAAGCTTTATTTAAATATTTTATAATAAAACAATAAAAAATAAATTAAGAAATCTAAAAATCATTAAACATTTTGATAAATAATATTGACAATAATATTCAAGATCATTTAAAATAATAAACATACGAATATCACTAAAATCCTAGATTTCCTAACAAAGTAGACTGTGTCTATAGTACTCCTCTTCTTCTTCTCTTTCTTCCTCTACACTTTTATTACTCA